TGAGTGCTGTGCCATAGAGCAGGGGTCCTCAAACTGGGGTGGGCATCAGATTCAAGATTCCCAGGCCCGGCCTAAAACCACGGAAGCAGACTCACAGCACAGGTGACTCAGGTGCCCGTGACAGGCTTGAGCGGGGCCACTCTTCTCAGGGTCAGTATGTGCCCTGTGAGACTATGGCTCTGACGCTTCCTGGGTATTTTGGCCACGGTTTATTTACACCGGGCTTCCCCGAGGCACCAGTGTCCTGATTTGGTTATCACCAGAGACGGTGATACTCTGCTCTAGGATTGAGAATTAGTTAAGATTTAATGAGGGGCGAGGGTTGAGTAGAATTGGTGTGATTCTACTCGTGGTACATAAGAAGGCTCCTGGGTCCCAGCTAGGCGGGCGGGCAGCCTCGCTTCCCGAGGGTGGGACTTCAGAGCTCACGCAGGATGAGGGCTTAAGAGGCAGTCACAGGGTGACTGGGCTGGGCTAGGGGCTCCTGCTGAATCTGGCCCAGACATCTCAGGAATGGGTAGCCACCCGCCTGGGGACCCAGTAACTCTATTTTGACGGATGTCCTGGCACGTCCCAGGCAGTTATGGTTTTACCTGTTCCTCCACGCGTTCCTTCACGTTATCGACTATCCCCGAAGCATGCATTGTCAGGCAACGGCAGCTTTGGGGAGCCAGTGTCAAGTCACGGACATTAAAAACGCTCCCATTTTCCCTCAGCCTTCAGAGGTAGGAAAGGACTGCAGAGATTTAGTCGTGTGCCTTCCCTCCACCGAGAGAAGTGGGCAACAGAGAGGGGAACTGACCGCGTGAACGGCAGAGAAGATACCACAACACACGTCTCGTTTGTACAATCCCATCACTGAGTGGGAATGAGAATTCTCTGTTCCAATCTGAAGTCTAAGTACAATAACCAGTACGACGGACACAGTTTAAGGAGCGTTCGTGTTAATGTGAATCTCTAGACTGTAGACGATCAGGGGGCAGTGACCTTATATACAGAACTGGACGTTTAGCTCCGGTTTCTGTGACAGCTAATGGCACGTAACAGACAATAAATGTACCCTGAGGGATTTTTCTTTGAATGAATATAAAGAGTTTATTTGGTGCGTATTTGGGTATACAACAACAAATATTAAACAACTTTTTTTTTCACTTTTTTTTTTGTGCACAGGACAGAAAACTGCCTGCACATGCTATGTCCACTTTAGGAACACAGATTTTAACATGCAACTCTATGCCAAGATTCCAACTTTCTTCCATGCAACAGATATGAAGATCTAAATGGAAACCTAGCTAAGTCTTAAACACTTTTCCAGAAGCAAGTATAAGTATATGTTGGTTAGGGGTAACCAGTCTTAACATTTCCTTGTACACAATATTCACATGCCAAATACAACAACAGCAGGACTCGTACATATACAGATAGGACGCTTCTTATCATAACAACACAAAAGACGACATCACGGTTCCACAGTTCGTGTCTTTGTACGAGAAGCCACAACGATAGTTTGACATGATAACACAAATGGAATCAAGAGAAATCTACACTTGAGGATAATCTTTTTTTTTTTTTTTTTTTTAAGTAACCTTTACGGACTGGGGTTGACAATACAACTCAATCTCTATGCACAGAATACAGCACAAGAACTTGACCAGAATACACTACAAATCTAAAAAAAAAAAAAAAAATGGTAGAATCACAAGAACACTGTTACCTTGAGCCTGAGATGCCAATTCAGATTCAACCCTGAATTTGGTTGATTGGGATTAAGTGACAGAGTCAGTAGAACCATTGAATTTCAGAAATCATGGAGTCACAATATTACCAAGTAAAGAATACGTCTGAATCAAGCGTAGATGGAAAACATGAAGCCAAGAAAACAACACAGGTCACAAGAAGTTTTGTTTGCCCCTACGAAACATTTAAGCGCTTAATTTTGTTTTGCTTTGTTTTTGTTTTTGAAGAGCAATTGTGGTCTTTTACATTGTCTTGGTTGGAGAGCAAATTTTTATCAGCATTAGTGCTGTGAAATGTTTTTGGCTTTTCATCCCCAAAGCACAGGTGAGATCATGAGAAAATTGGGCAGGCCCTTCTCTCCAGGATTTAGTTCACTGATCATGCTTGGCATTCTTTTGCACAAGCTCAATCGAAATTAGGGGGCTTCAGTATGGATGATCGAAAGGTTTAATGGCAGATAGACTAGTGAACTCTGCCTGTTTGTTTGGTAAACGTCATTGACAAAAGTGAACTTTTGGGCGAAGGACCTGCTAGAATTCAACAGCACCTGGAGGTAAGGTTCTGTTACAGAGCCCTTGTTTTGCCCTCACTGGCTACGTTGATTCGTTGTGGCTCATGGATTTGCCTCCGTTCAGCACGCCGGAGACACTTCTGCTCTTGGTTGGGGTTCCGCTTCCGGACCGGGAGAACTCCGTGAGATCGTGCAGTGACGGCTCCTTGTACATGGCCACTGGAAAGCACAGACAGATGGGAGTCAAAGGCCTTCGAACGCACACCCCGCACCGGCCCTCAGCTTCTCTCCTGGTCACTAGGCTTCCATGCTTTCAGCCCAACACGGAAAACGCTGCCACCAAGGACTCAGCCGAGAATGGACTGGCTCAGCTTAAGCAAAATCTAGCGCTGGCACAGTGTGCAAGGAAGTCTAATGCCTCATTTCCATCCCTGATGGTTATATACATGAGAGGATTAACGAAAACTGCATTTAATAAAGCTCTTCGAAGGTTAAATATAATCTACAGCACGCTGTGCGAACCAAATATTAAAATCGAACACATTTTAAAACACCGATTTTGGGGCGCCTGGGTGGCGCAGTCGGTTAAGCGTCCGACTTCAGCCAGGTCACGATCTCGCGGTCCGGGAGTTCAAGCCCCGCGTCGGGCTCTGGGCTGATGGCTCAGAGCCTGGACCCTGTTTCCGATTCTGTGTCTCCCTCTCTCTCTGCCCCTCCCCCGTTCATGCTCTGTCTCTCTCTGTCCCAAAAAAATAAATAAACGTTAAAAAAAAAAATTAAAAAAAAAAAACAAAACACCGATTTCTACCATACTCGAGATGATACTCTCCGAGAGTCTAAATGTTAGCGCAATTCTTAAATGCAAGAAACGCTATGTATTATTATCATTGTTGTGCTGTATGGTTACATACACGACCATCCAGTTAGTAAAGAGGGGTGCTGGGATTTGAATCCAAGTCATGTGGCTACGGAACGTATGCTGCTAAGCAGCGCTGAGCTCACCCGAGGGGACGGGCCACTGTTACGCTCACCTCGGTTCTAACCCCAGGCCGGTGGCCTCTGGGAGGTCTTGCTCTGCTTTGCCCCCGGTTTCCTATCCCTTCCCTCCCACGTCTCGGCTACTTCTAACAGCCTCATCTTCCGCACTCCATTTCTATCCCTCGTTCTGTCCAATCTGCTGCTAACCTCCTGCTAATGGCTGTGAGACAAACCCCGCGAACGAAAACTGCCAGGACGATATTGCCGGGCCCGGCAGAGGGCCCAAGGAGCTTTCCGGTAAGTGCGCGTACATTTTAGCATCTGCGTTTCTGTCCAGGAACCGTTCTGGTGTCATTTGGGGCTCCTGGCGGTCCTGAGTTAGCGATCAGCTACGCCCACGTAAGTTAAGGTGCTACTATCTATAGACGTGCTATGGGAAAATTAAAATCAGAAGATCAGGTGCTATTGTCAGCGCTTTTTTCATGTTTTTAAGTGTTACAGAAGGTCAGTCCATTTCTGTATAGTTGCCTTCACGGGGAAGAATGACGTTCCACTTAGACAAGCATGATGAAGGACTGCCTCGTACACAGCTCCTATCATACCAGGTTTACCTTTGAGTGGTTTGGGCAGAAAGTGGGCTGCAGGCTTGTTCTTCTTCACGTGGTTTCCTTTCATGATCTCTCCTTCTTTGTTCAGACCCAGATACCACCCTCGGCCTGACTGCTGCTGACGATAGATCATCGACGAATAGGTCACGTAATAATTTTCAAACACCGACTCTTTGAATTTGCACTCAGGTGTAAAGTGTTCCTGCGAGAAAAGCAAATAAACCAAAGCTCAGTATTTATAGCCGTGGATTTCACGGAGAACCCTGTGGTATTGCCCTTCAGGAGTTTCGGACATACTCTGTTCAAGCTTGTACGACCGGTGCTCTATTTTAATAGCATAGACTATTACCACTGGAAACCCAGACTATATAGAACAGTCCACGTGATGCTTTGCAAAAAGCCCCAAGTGTAAGTGCTACTGCTCAATGATTCGCTCTCTTTGTACTAAGATAATGGAAAAATTAGAACCAGCCACCTAACTGGAATACACTGGACAAATACAAGAGCTAAAGATCGAAAAGACAAGTATAAAGCTGTCACACGAGGCTTTGTTCCTGGCCGTTGTCAGAATTAAATATGAGAAAACAAACATTTGGTCCTTCTACTTAATTTTCAGAGACTGTCCACTTATTCTGTACTATCATTGTCAACTGCCCGAGGCTAAGAGCTGTGTTACAGTGTTTTATTACTGGCTGCCTATATTTCTAGAGGGATGCTACAAAGAAAGGCTTTGGTTGGCTGTTAGGTAAACCAAATTGATTTGTCTCTTAATCATTGGACCTTGACTTAAAAATGAAAAGAAAATCCCCCCCCCCCACCTCGTCCTTGCCTTACAGTAACATTTACAAGCAAATCAATAGGGAAGCAGGAATTTACAGTAATTCTACAAGCAGACACGAGAGAGCAGCCCAGGGGGCTGTGAACCCTGGAATGTGATTTCTGCTGTGTACCTGGCCATGTTTTCTTTGGATCTGCCCCCACAAATGAAAACGGACTGTTTCAGAAAAGAAAAAAAAACCAACCTGAAAACCTTCGTTCACGTTTTGCAGATGTGGGCGTGTGCCATAAACAGCCATTAAAAACAGCCATTTGTAAGCCAAATGAAATGAGCATCAGATTCTCATCTCTCAGTAATCCACCGAGTGGTAGACATAGAAAACAATGGTAATTTGCTGAGATGTTCTCAGCAGTAACTTCTGATAAAACCCTACCAAAAAACCTTGTAAAAAAATCATGCGCTAGAGCACCTGGGTGGCTCAGTCGGTTGGGCGTCCGACTTCGGCTCAGGTCATGATCTCACAATTCGTGGGCTCAAGCCCCATGTCGGGCTCTGTGCTGCCAGCTCGGAGCCCGGAGCCTGCTTCGGATTCTGTGTGTCCCTCTCTCTCTGTCCCTCCCCTGCTCACGCTCTGTTTCTCTCTCTCTCTCAAAAATAAACAAACATGAAAACACATTAAAAAAAAAATCGTGTGCTTTCTGGACACCAGCCTTTCCACACAATGCCTCCACGGTCCCACCTTCGTTCATTTTCAGATTAGATATCAGTCTAAGCAACGCATGCTGTCCGAGGGACAGAATCTAAAGTGCTCTGAGACAGTCACTTCAGCAAAGAGGGACAAATTCCTCAAATGAGGCGGCCTTTCTCTGAAAGTGAAACAACAGAACCTTCTCTTCTCTTCTGGGCATCCACGAAATCTGGGTCACTCCGTCATCTCACCGATTCTCACCCAGTGCATGGATTAGAGAGTCCTCTCTGGGGGTTATTTCAGCCTAGGGGCACACTTGACAGGTCCTCTGAAGGTTCACACAAATTCAACCTGGTCAAGAAAAACGTATTTCCAAGGCAACTACTGCATGTAGGAGCCGAAGCGTTCCGTTTACGGGCTGTGAAACCCCCCCTCTGGAGGATTCTCCCAATGGTGGGACGCGATGTGCTCAGGCAGGTCCCGCAAAAGGGCTGCATTTAACGTCTTGTGTGACGGTCGCATTCATTCATTCACGTATACACGGTTTTCCGACGACCCCACTGTACGCTTGGGTGACACAAAGAGTTCACAGGTAAATAAGTAGGGGCCTCAGGAAACTTGCAGTGTATTTGCAGGCAGGGTTTTAGGACAACAGAGGAAGCCCGCTTTCGCCCTCACTGGGGGCTGCAGAGGGGCAGCGTTCACAGAGAGGGTGTTATTTTAGCTGACCTTTGAAGGATGGGCAGGAATCCAGACCAGGAAAACGGGAAGGACTTAAAACTCCGGGGGACCTTCAAGTTCATGCACAATCTCTCCCGTCCACGAGCTTCACCTTCCGTTTTCACTGCGACTGATTGAGCTGGCGCCCTCTGACCTCTCCACTGGCCTGCTGTCATAACCTCCGGACTGGTCTCTCCTCTTCTGCTAGCAGATTCCCGCCCCCCCCAAGCAAAGTTCCCTTCCTTGGGAACTGTTGATGGTGTCACCTGCCTTACAGTAAAACGAGCGGCTTGACATGGCATCTAAAATTCCCCAGGGGCGCCTGGGTGGCTCAGTCGGTTGAGAGACGACTTCGGCTCAGGTCATGATCTCACAGTTGGTGGGTTCGAGCCCCCAGGTCGGGCTCTGTGCTGACGGCTCAGAACCTGGAGCCTGCTTTGGGTCCATGTCTCCCTCTTTCTCTGCCCCCCGCCCCGCTTGTGCCCTCTCTCTCTCAAAAATAAAACAAAAAACATCAAAAAATTTTTAAAAATTTAAGATTTCCCACAAATCGTGGGGTGCCTGGGTGGCTCTGTCGGTGAAGCTTCCGACTCTTGATTTCGGCTCAGGTCATGATCTCAAGCTTCATGAGATCAAGCCCCGTGTCGGGCTCTGCGCGGACAGCACGGAGCCTGCCTGGGACTGTCTCTCCCTCTCGCTCTCTGACCCTCTCCCGCTTACATTCTCCCTCTCCCCCTCTCTCTCAAAACTAAATAAAAGCTAAAAGAAATAAAAAAATACAAATAAAATAAAATTCCCCACCATTCAGACTCACGTGTGCCTTTGTGCCTTTCCAGATGCCTTTACCTACTGGCTTTCCTCTCATCCTTCAAGGCCTAGGTCAGCTATGACTGCCTCCGGAATCACAGAGGATCTCTTAAGAGAGATCCTCAGAGCTGATGACATGCGAATTGGTGCTCCCTTAAGCCCTCCCTACACCTCTAGCTGGTCCCATGACTCAGGCACATGCATGAGCAGCTCCAGATGGCAGGGAACTTGTCGCATTTTCTGAACGCACCTTCTGCCCTCACGGCCGACCGGTCGGGCTGCCTCGCACACAGCAGACCGCTTACCTATCACTCACGGGATTCGGATTTCAGAGATTCCGATTTAAGTCTTGGAAATTCCAGGATTCAGAAGTATCAACCAGTAAAAAGTCGGCAGGGAACTTCCTTAATACCATATGGAATCAGCTGTCTGCAGAAGGAGGCTGTCATTGCACGGACAGATCCTGCACGCGCGATTTAGCATCTGTTAAGAATAACAGATACTACACAGATGCTGGCACCTACGACGTTAGGAGGCAAAACTTGGCGATTGTTACAACTATTGGAAAATGGCAAGGAAGGACTCAATGAGCTGGATGCTCTGTCACATCCTGGCAATTTCTTAGTCATCACCACTAAATTTGGACTCAAAAACTCAGTAGAGCGGGAAATGAGGCCAAAAAAAGAATGTGGAAGCAACCGAGGGACTGTTCTGTTCTGTGTGTGTGTCACTGTCATTTCATCCAGTGTTGGAACGAGTAGGCAGAAGAGGCTTCGTTTTTATCCAGTGCGGAAAAATGTGAACATCCCACCCGACACAGGAAGGGCTCGCAAAGGGAAGAGGGGTACGGCCGCGTCTCTGTCTCAGCAATGAGTCACATCAGTAACACGTACTGGATTTGACCCTATCAGGGAAGCCCTGTTCAGGGGATGCCGGGAAGACACAGGGCAAGGAATCAACGTCCTCTGATTGATCGGGAGATGATTAGCAGTGCTCTCGAAAAAGGTACCGTTGTAATCTAAGAAACAGAACAAACATATGGGAACATGGCGGGGGGAGGTAAGAGAAAAAAGGGAAACAAACCAGACACTCTGAACGATAGAGAACAAACTGAGGGTTGATGGACGGGTGTTGGGTGGGGGGATGGGCTAGACGGGTGACGGGCATTGAGGAGGGCACTTGTTGAGATGAGCACTGGGGGTTGTACGGAAGGGATGAACCACCGGGCTCTACTCCTGAAACCAACACTGCCACTGGGTGTTGACTGATATTTAGATAAAAATTTGAAAAGAGAAAAAAATACAGAAAAAGGTACCCTAGTGGCCTTGAGCATCACTTTTCTGAATTTCACACGCATGAGATAAACGTCTGCCATCATCATAAATGATCGCTTTCAGGAGATGCCAAGCATTCCCTGCATAGTCGCTAAGAAGTTATCTGGCATGGGTACAAAAGAAAGGGTGCTTTCTTGTATCTTACAACGTTTTATGCATCGATTTCTCTTAAAAGTTGTTTCTCTCGCATATCTATGTATTTTTTTTCCAGAGGAATAACGTCTTTTTGGTTCATGAACTAATCAATCTGTCTTTAAATCTCCTCTGTGCCATCCTCTCTATTCTCCTTGAAGTTCGAGGTTAGTGTTTTCTCAGTGAATATTGAACCTTTTTACCTAAAGAATCCATACCAGTTAGCGATAATGACTCTATCTGGGGTAAGGGAGAAGGACCTATGCAGAATGAGCAGATCCAGGAGCAAAATCGATCATTTCTCTTTACCAATTTAGACACTGTTAAGGGGGGAATCGTTTCTTGGAGGTTGAGAGATCACTGACAAGAAGGAAACATCTGAAGCCTTCTGCATCACGTTCCAAGAACACACTGGAGAACGCCTCTAGCCACAAACGGTAATGGTCAGCCACCCTTATCGGGGCTCAAGACCTCTACGCAGACTCTGAGAGGCACAGAAGAAGGCATTAGCACAATCGGTAACGTTGGTTATGTGCAAACAACCCCCAGAGCCAATGGTGTGCCGGAAAACACCTTTGCCCCAGAAGGAAAGGCTTTGACCTGTGTAAAGCACTCTTTTCTATTAGGGTCAGAAGAAGCAGGAGTGCCCTGGGTTGCCCTGACTCTGAGAGTAAAGTATGGAGAGGGCGCGATACCTCTCTGGCCTCCTGGAGCTGAAGCCAGGTCAGAAGCACCTTGGGCTG